TTCCTTTTTTATAGCTTCGTACAATTCCTTTACACTCACATTAATTTCCATACTCCTTTAACTTCCAGTCAACTTTCATTTGTCTTTCACTTTTTCTTCACTGTCTTCTACTTCTTTAACTTCATTTCCTACCCTCTACATTTTCCTCTACTTTTCTTATTACTTTTACAAGCACATCACCTAACATTTTCAGTTTCCTACCTTACTAAATTACCATTCAAAATTCTTTTATCACAATCTTCGTACTGAGAGGCCCAATTGTGGTAGAGGTAAGAAATGTATACGAATTAATGGAACGAAACATTTCTTACCTACTTAAATAATTCTTTAGAACCCTTTCGTTGTTTTTTGCTCATATTTTTTTTTCTAACCCTAAATAGAACAAAATGTCCTAAATCGCGCGCGACTAGGGACTTCCTGCTGACCAGCCCTACCCGCCCTCACCCCCTCCCCCCACACCCTATTCAAACAAGTGCTATTCCCGATCCTTCGCGAATTGATTGTTTGCCTTCCTGGACCATGCTTGGAGACGCTATTGAAAGAGTATGCCGATAGAGGGAGAAACGGGCGGTCAGAAGACCCGAAGAGGTTTTCGTTTTCAGCATCTGGATGCATTAAATGTTACTTGCTGTGAACAATCATTTCCTCTCAAACATTTGCTAAGGATTTTGCGTAATAGTTACTTGTCTCACTAACCCCAAAGGTGCAAAACAAGTTTCCTGTTCATGCCATTTCTTCGCAGACAAGCTGGACTGACTTCACCTATCAAATTTAGCTAGCTAGACAGATTTCATCTCCGGGCTCTACACTTCACATCACACTGCACAGACGGGCTATGTTTTCCATGATTATGCAATTTTGCATTGTCGTTGACAGCACAGTACTAGCGATATTCGTCTTCACTGCATGAAAGTAAATTTTAAGTAAAAACAGAATTATACAGAAAATTTAGAAAAACCCGAAATATTCTCTACCGACAAAATATTGCTACAGCAGGGCATATTAAAACATATCCAAGCTCAAAACAGTGAACGAAAGCATCTCGTCCAATTCATCTCAGTGCAGCGCGAATTGGTGGGAAAATGCATAACTGCACCTACTCCCCATCTGGTGCGCCCCTCGGATGATTAAGTGAATTTGATTGCAACAGCTCAAAAATACTGTCCTTTAGCCAATACTTCGGACATCTCTTCTTTTGTTTTGCTTACCGCTCCGATATAAGCCATCGCTAGAGCGACAGCAGCTGAAAACGGCGAGATAATTGCCGATTCATTGCCTCTGGTCGCAGCCTTCAACAGATTCAGCGCAAAATCCGCCTGAACTTCATCCATACCGATAACTCTAGAAAATTTATAATTCAAGCCCATGAATTTTCAGGAAAATTTGAAAGTTATTTGAGAAATCATTGGCGACCCGCACCAGGCAGGCTGTTGCGATCATGCGTTTTCGCATAACGTGCAAATGCAAAAACGCATATCGTGATGATCCCGGTGTGTGCGTGCATGCGTGTGTGTGTGTGTGTGTGTGTGTGTGTGTCTATGTGTGTGTGTGTGTGTGTGTGTGTCTATGTGTGTACATATGTGTGTAAGTGTGTCTCTGTGTCTGTTTGTTCAGTTATTTCAACTCGGCAACTAAGCAAGCCCCGGCGCCAAAATTTTGCCAGTGCATCCCCTGGCTAAGTGCCGCCTCAGAACCATGATACCAATCCTCGCACAAGTCTGAGCCCAGAGTACGAGCGCGTGAAAGGTTTAGCTGGAAAATTGCTAACTCAAGAACCAGAAAAGCTAGAAAGCTGAAATTTTGCGGTTATGTTCCCCGCCTATCTAGAAATCAAAGATTTCAAATTTAGCCCCTAGATATGCGTGATTCTCACGTACGGCTCCGTGGATGTTTTTAGCGGATAACTGCTAACTCGGAAACCAGGGAAGCTGGGAGGCTGAAATTTTAGGGGGATGTTCCCAGCCCAAGTACAATTTAAAGTTTTCAAACACAGCTCCAAGGTATATGTGGTTCTTACATACAGCCCGCGAAAATTTTTGGCGAGAAAATTGCAAACTCGAGGATCACAAAAGACAGAAAGCTGAAATTTTGAAGGGGTTTTCCTTGACCAATTACCGTATAATTGGGTACTTTATTTCTAAACTTCGAGGACCAATATGCTATAAATTCTAGCTACTGAGACTCCAAACGATCTTCCAGCAGTACGAAATCTTTCAAGCGATCTTCCAACAGTACGAAAAAAAATTCTAGCTACTAGGACTCCAAGCGATCTTCCATGATCGCACGGGTCTGCCTAGTGTGCGTCGCCAATGATTTATACTATTTGGTGCTGTAGTAAAATCGCTTGGAATCCCAATAGCTAAGGCTGAGATCAGGTCGACTCTTAGGAATTGAATTTGAAGCCTTCCAGTTGCACATGAGTATCTTTAGGAGGTACTTGGGCAGGGGAAATTCCATTAAAATTCAGCCTCCCAGTTTTTCCGGTTCCCGAATTAGCAATTTTCCCATCAAAACTTTCACGCAACCGTGTGTTAATGACCATGCATACCTGGGGGCTGAATCTAAAATAATCTTGTGCATGGGCAAAGAACATTTTAAAATCTCAGTTGCCTATGTTTTTAAGTTCCTGATACGGAAATTTTGACCTTAAACTTCCACGTATCTTTAAGTGAGACTTGGGAGCTGAATTTGCAAGGAAGCTGAATTTGAAATCTTTTAGCCCGCACATGAATAGAGGAAATTTTCTCAAAATTCCAATTTTCTTGGTTTTCCAGTTCCCAGTTTACTAAATTTCATGTCAAAGCTTTTACGTGGCCCTACGTGAAGCTCGGAATTGTTGGGGTGTTCTGCCCCCCAAACTTGCTTGCAGAGTGATATCGAGTCACCTGTTACCCACCGCCTTCCAATTACTGTCGTTAATCGTTTGGAACTCC